CGTCTAATTACAGTTTTGCCACTGCCTTTAATTGCTTATAACTTCTTCGTTTTAACTCCAAATTGATCCGTTCAAGTTGCGTTAGGTTCGTCTTTTCGAGATCTATCTGTTCATATAATTTGTCATCATGTTTTTGAACTTTAAAATTCGAGTTTAGATTTAATCTATTTCTTTAATAGGAAAACTTGTTTTAACCATAACTTTCTCGTTATAGCTCCGTTTTTCGTGATCTTCACGTCTGTGTGATCATAGCAACGTGTAGAATAGTTTTATAAACTTTTCAAAACTGTTTGTCTCTGTTGGTGTACTGTTCTAATTAAATCTATTTGTTTGCCTCGTGTATGATTGCTCGGATGATTGTATGTTGCTGCTTGGTGTTGTTGATCGAGTTCAGACGGTGAGGTTTTCGTTGGTGATCAAGAGTTCTTCTACGACCAGCAAGACCAGCAAGACTTTCAGGAGAACTTTGATCAAGGCAAGTATAGCTAAGGACCTTCCTTGTTGTCCTATTCATGAGATACACTAAAATTCATTTGCATGTGTCCACTTTGTTATCCTATGTAGGAAATTCTAGAATTTGATCTTGAATACCTTGAAACCTGGGTTTATGCATTTGGGTAGTGTTATGCTAGCGCTAAACAATAACCATGATCTTGATACTTGACTGGTAATTGAGCTTTAAACAATTTAAGATGACTTGTTAGCAATAACAGGAGGGTTTAATTCCCTCTCCTTGAGGACTTGTTTGTAAGTGATCATCCGGGACTTATAGTACAGCTGTGAGGGCTACATGGCTCTGGCTTTAGTTGCTTGGGAGACCTTTTCTAGCTGGCTTAGAGGATACTACGAGTTGGGTATAGGACAGCCTCTGTCCTGTTGTGCCTTGCTATGGAAGCGGCCTTTTATTGGAAGGGGGTTTCCTATATCTGATGACCCTATGGCCCTTCCTAGTTAGATGAACTTCTGAGTAGCTTTATGTGGTTTTCGGTGTCTGGACGTAATTAACCCATGCATTCGTAAAACCATGACTCACAGTGAAAGTGTACACCTCTGCGCAGAGTTAATAAACTGGTATACTAGCCATGCTCACGGTCACGAGCGGCCAAGGGATTCTTACACCATAAATGAGCTCTTGTTTAATTGTGCTTAACTAAGTTGTCTTTGAGCTATTTATTATTCATGTTCATTGATCATGAGTTATGGGAATTATGGCACTACCTTGTTGCTAATAAATGCTAAACTTGGTCATACACATAAAAGCTACTTGCAGTTCAACCAGTGTCAGCTATTTGAGCCTCATGAACCCTTAGTTATCTTGTTAAGTACGACATGTACTTATGCCTTGCTTTATCTTTTATGTTGGAAAATCCCGGATGGGTAACAGATCAAGATTGGATTGAAGATTACCGTGATGAGTATTAGACTTGGTGTCAACCAGTTGACGTCCCTGTTGGAGCTTCCACAAGAGGGTTATCTTGGTAGTTATTATATTTATGTTTGAGACTATGTGTTGAATATTTATTCGTTATGTGATAAACATTGTGTTGGTACAATTTACAATTTACAATTTGTCAACTTATGTGTGCAACCGTTCCTGGGGTGCACATAAGACTTTTATACATCCTCTTTTGTTCTTAAAATTGGGTGTGACATTGTTGGAGCACATTTATATTTAATATTGGAACACATTTCTATATATTGTATTAACAGTTATCCATGTATTCTTGAAAGACTTATATACATCATTGGATGACATTTCTGTTGTTACAAATTTCTATACAATTATCAATAATGGCTCTTGCAGTTTGTTTTCATGTACTTTGATTGTATGATCTGTCGGTCACATCCAGCAATCTATAATTTTTTCTAGATTGTTTGGTCGTGATTTTTGCATTAATGTAGCTGACATTAATTTTACCAATAGGTTTATGTGTCTGCTAAAAGATGTTTCTATGCCTTTCTTACCCCTGTAAGGTTTATGTGCCTGTTAAAACATTTTTATATGTCTTTTCTTTTTTTTGCCGTTGTAAGGTTCCTGCGCCTGCTAAAATATGATTCTATTCCTGTCCTGCCGCTGTAAGGTTTTTGCACCTATTAAAATATGTTTCTATGCCTTTTGTTGTGATGTAGGATGGCTGGAATGAATTCCTCTCCATTTAGTGTGAGGGCGACGTAGACAAAGGACATGGCTTGCGACGTTCATGACTTCCTTTGCCTTGCGGCGATGGCGTAGTGTGATCTTGATGTAGTTGTATGTGGGTTAATGTAAAAAGTTGATGTAGTTGATGTTACAACAAATTTCTATACATTGTTGGAGCAGTTATCCATACACTTCTACATAATTTTATACACTGTTGGAGCACTCTTTCTATGCTTTGTTAGAACACAACGATATACATTGTTGGAACAATTATTTATACGCTTATACACAATTCTATACATTGTTGGTACGCAATTCTATATATTGTTGGACACAATTCTATACATTGTTGGAGTAGCTGTCTGTACATTTTTACACAATTGTGTACACTGCTAGAACATAATTCTATACATTGTTGGAGCACATTTTTATTTAATGTTGAAACACATTTCTATAAATTGTAGGAACAGTTATCCATGCATTGTTGAAAGACTTCTATACATTGTTGGATGACATTTCTATCCATGTAGCTGACAGTGGGAAGCATAGTATGGGTGGGGTCGTTACAATGTTGTGAAATGGGACCATTATGGATAATGTACCCTAGTGGGTAGTGTTTTATATGTTTGTATGTATTGTTTCTCTATTAAATAAACATCCACCTAGAGGAAAGCACAGTGTGGGTGGGTCGTTATAATAATCCCCTACTGGGAAGGGTTTTATGGCTTTATAAGCATGGTTCCTCTATTAAATAATCATCTTCTAGTGAAATGTCCATCTCGTGGAGAGGTTTTTATGCGGTAACAAAATTAATTTTTATTCATCAAACCACTAATTTCTATGCAATGTCGGTGCCAAAAATGTTTCTAAACGAGCCGCCCCTACAAATAGTGCCCAAACGAGTTGCCCCTACAAATAATGCCCAAACGAGCCGCCCCTACAAATCTATTTGTAGGGGTTGCTGGTGTTATCAGCCGCCCCTATAAATGGCATCATTAGGTGCGGCTCTATATTCAGCCGTCCTTACAAATAGACGTCGAATAGTAAAAATTAAGCACTAAAATTGATTTTTTTTCAAACGACCTCGGATGGACAAATGACCAAAATAAAGGTTTTAGATCTAGAAAAGTTATGAAACTTTGTTGTTTACAACTTTTTTCGTAACACCGCATTCGAAACACCACCGTATAGTGGTAAGCATGATGTCAGTGGAGGCAATCACGGTTGTGTTTGGTGGAATGTCTATCTCGCGGAGAGGTTTTTAAACGGTAACCAAATTAATTTTTATTCATCCAACCACTAATTTCTATGCAACGTCGGCGTCAAAAAAATTTCTGCGCATTTTAACTATTGATTCTATGTATCCAATCGGCCATCATCTGCAATGATTTAGATTTCAAATTTTGGAGAAGTCGAGATCGTCTGCATGTTTTACGCTTGCGGTCTCCATGTTCTATGCATTGTTTCCATATTAATTATACACATCTATAGTGGGAAGCATGATGTTGGTGGTGGCAATTACAGTTGTGTCAGGTTGAATGTCCATCTCGCAGATAGATTTTTAGGTGGTAACAAAATTATTTTTTATTCATCCAACCACTAATTTCTATGCAACTTTGGCGCCAAAAACTTTTCTGCGCATCGTGACCATTGATTCTATGCATCCAATCGGCCATCAGGTGCCATGATTCAAATTTCAAATTTTGGAGAAGACGAGATTGTCTTCATGTTTTACGCTTGTGGTCTCCATGTTTTATGCATTGTTCCAATGTAAATTATACACCCCATAATGGGAAGCATGATGTTGGTGGAGGCAACAACGGCTGTCAGACATTTGGCGCAGTCCAAACAGGTCCTACTTGTTATACTAGGATGATGATTGATCTATGTGCTGATGCTTCGTTCAGCAAGCCTTTTTGTGCTCTCCCCTCCTGGATCACCAATATATACAGGAACAACAGTGTGACTGGCATGACATGAGCTCAACATATATTACAAACTTTTGTTACACTGATACAGGCTAAATATCACCGTGTTATTAGTGAATGACATGCCTCGATCGTTGGCATCAACGGTAGGAGGCGGAACCACACGATCGACGCCGACGGGTGGGAGAACCTTGACGTGGGGGTGTCCGAGTGCGTCATACGCTGGGCGTCCTGCACCACCTTTTCGACGAGATCTACAACTTTCTAGTTTTGAGATTTTTCATTTGAAGTCGTTAAGATACTAAAAAAATTAATGATATATTTAGACTTAAGGGTATTTTTGACTTTTCACACCTGCAGTTTGACGGCGTTAGAGCCCAAACTGACGGCAGTGGCATGGTGGGCACAAAAAAGTTGGAGCAGTGGCGCTGAAGACCGCTAAACTTTTCCAAGGGCACACAGGGCATTGCGATCTTTTTTAATGGCACATAGTGAATTCCCCCTTTCTGGAAGCAGCGGGGCTGGCGACATTGCGGCCGCTGATGCAAAATCGGAAGGGCCAAAGAACGCGTCGATGTGGCCGAAGGAGGGATCAGTAAATGGTGTTAGAAAATAGGGGCAATTATGTAATTGGCACTGGAACAAATCGGTCTTCTTTATTTAGCACTAAAAATTTTGAACTTTCTTATTTGACATCGAGTTAAAAAAAATTCTATAAATGGCACTACCGTCCATTTAGTGCATCCATCCGTCAGTTGACTGCGTTGACCGTGTCATGTTTCTTTCTGAAGTACCAAAATGCCCCTCTGTACTCGCTCGTGGCCGGCAGCTCGTCTCCTGCCTAGGAGCTCACGGAGGAGCGGCGGTACAAGATCTACGCGGAGGGGTTCACATGGTCGGACAGCCTCAAGTACATCCTGTCATGCGGATCCATGGCGCTACTGATCGAGCCGTGGTACCAGCACTTCTTCAGCCGGGGCCTAGAGCGCCGGGTGAAATACTGGCCGGTGACAGAGATGGGCATGTGCGAGTCCATCAGGGATGCAGTCGACTGGGGCAACGCCAACCCCGGTGAGGCCGAGCGCGTCAGCCGGCGCGGCCAGCGGCTCGTGTAGGGCCTCCGCATGCACGCCATCTACAACTACATGCTGCACCTACTCACCGAGTATGCAAGCCTCATGGACTTCCGCCCTGTGGCGCCGCCGTTGCCTGACGCGCACGAGGCGTGCGAGGCGTCGTTGCTCTGCCTCGCCGATGACAAGCAGCGCAGGTTCCTCGAGGCGTCCAGGGCAGAGCTCGCAACGCGGGGGACGCGGCGGGGAAGTCTCGCCCGCTGATGCTAGTGCCAGGCCACGACGCGGTGGACGCGACGGGGCGAGCTCCGTGATGGCCGTTCATGCGCAGCGTGCGTCTCGGTGAGGAGGAGGACGTTGTCGAGCAGCTTCTCTGTCCAGAGATGACGTGATGGCGCTGGAGCTCGATGCGACACCGGTCATGTGGCTCCTGGCGTGGGACGAGCGGCGGCTGTGCTGCTGCTTGCCCGCATGGCCATGTGGCCACCGCGGCGGCGGCTCGCTAGCTCGCCCGCTCCACGCCGTCCGCGTGCTCCGTGCGCCGCCTAGTTCGCCCGCTTCGCGCCAGCCGCGTCCTCGGCGCGTTGCCTAGGCCGCGAGCTCCGTGCGCCGCCAATGGCGAGCAGCAGCACGTGGTGCGCCGCCAATGGCCAACTTGATGAGAAGCCCTCCCTCTTGATTTCGCATTTGGTGCTCCCCGGCAGCTGCGAGCGCGGCCGCCATTCACTCCCTTCCTCGGGGCAGACTGATTTCTCTGAGGACTCTTCCTTCCTTGCTGGCGATGAGGAGGCATGGGTGGCAGCTTCCCTACCATCCTCTCCAGGTCCGCTTCTTGCGTCGTGCTTCTCCGTGGCGTTCTCCTTGCTGTTGCTGCCTTGTTTCTGATGTGGGCAAGTGCTGCAGGTGGTGGCGATAGCGGTCTTCCTGGCGCTGGGATTCGCTTTCTACGTCTTCTTCGTTCCCTTCGTTGGGGGAGATAGGTTGCAGTATTTGCTCATGGGCCTCTACACCCCACTAGTGAACAGCTGCCATCATTGTGTTGTCCCCCTTCTGTTTCAAACAGCCCTCTTGTGTGTGTGACCCTTCTTTAGAGTGGTTACTTAGATCTACATTTCCCTTTTGTGCTCTTCACCTCTGTGTCTTTCTTTACCTCTTTAGTATGTCCAGTGAGGAGTATGCTATGCTTTGGTAGTTGATACAAATATTAATGTGTCATATGAACAAACATAGAAAACACAAGCACAACTAACAGTAACAGAGTCCTTTCGCCTACAGTGTATGTTGAGTAATGAAGCCAAATTTATCATTTCAGGTTAGTGTAGGTCACTATAATATGTGTGTGCATGTGCTGATTGTAACATTGTGCAATCAGTGGCAAAACTTGCTCACATTGGAATTGGGCCTCTAATGTTCTTATAACAATCCAAGAGAAAACAAATAGAGGTTCTTCCCATCATTATTTCCACCAGAGCTTTCTTTCTTTTGCAAAGGATTATTCCAGTCCATGAAAAGGGAAACGATCCAGTTATTTCACACTAAGCAATGTGAACTTCATGTCAAGGTTGACTACTTGTCATGGTTAAAGTTGAACATTTTTTACTTGACAGAACAGTGGTATTGATGTTACGTATTTCAATCAGCAGCCATCCTGAGCCATGCATCCTTGATCTATGGCCGAGATGAAAGTAAGAGTGAGGGCATAATCTGTACCTGCTATTACCAATTTGAAATTTATTAATTATTTATTTGTAGTCTTCAATTATCAAAAATCCACATTTTAGTTCAAAGTATATTTATGATATTTATGATTTTCTTATTTGACAACCTGTCTATTTTTTTTTCCTGTTTAGCACCATGGACTTTTGCTACAATCAAGGGCATTTATGTCGTTTTGCTAGCCACTTGACACCGTTACTGGTCTAAATGGACGGCAGTGCCATTTACGAAAGAAAATTTGAACTCGATGCTAGATAAGAAAGTTCAAATTTTCTAGTGCCAAATATGAAAGACCGATTTGTTTTAGTGCCAAATACATAATTCTCTCTAGAAAATAAGGGTAATGGTAGATACACACAATGCTGTTTTTATTTTTTTCTTGCAAAAAAATTGAAATTTTGTAAAATCATTTATTTTATTTAATGTTTTCTATTCACAGCCTCAAATAGAAAATTTAGGGTGTGACAATCAATCCACCTGACCCCTATCGGTTCCATTGGTTGGGTTTGGGTCCTTGGAATTTTCTATCCAAGAGCTCATTTAAACTAACATTCTCATCTTGTGCCATAGGATTCGCTTATCAGTCCTAATATTTTCATTGTTGCTGTCAACTAGATCACGCTACTGGTCAGATAAGATTTACACATCTGGCGGTGAACTTCTTCCCCCGTTGTTAAGTGGTTTTATATTCATTGTTGAACCAACCAAATGAAAATCATGTGGCTGGTTACCAAAGCACCACATGAATTCATCAGGTGGATGTGTCGCTTCATCCATGCAGCAAAAATAAATAATATGCATGAACCTAGAGCTAACTCTAATCTTTATATCTTTGACTAATTTTGGCTGCAGGTTGCTGCTTTCAGAGAGGTTAATAGTGTGGTCTAGAGGATGTCTCGGTGAATTGAAAAGCCTCAGTGATGTTTAGGGGTAGCTACAACTCTTTTTGTTAGCTTGATGATGTTCAAGATGATGAAAGGGCTGCTGTTTGTCATTTTGGACTTGTGACTTAGATGTAGCGTGATGTATATTGCTACATGGATCTATGAGTTTGATATTATAATTCTTCGCAACCTGGGATTTGGTCAAGATTGTGTAATTGTAGAGTGGTTCTATGAAAATAAAAAATATGAAAAGGGTATAAGCTAGTCCATTATAAGCTAACATTCCAACTCAGCACCTACGTGGCATGTTGGAAGCTGTGACTTAAAAATCAAATGTCATAAAGCTTTGTGACTTCAAAACCAATGTCATAGATGTATGACGTTTACATATAAACGTCACATAACATGGTTTAAGGCGCATGGTTTTTGACACATGTATTTTCATCATGCTGTGTCACAAATGTTGATATGTGATAAAAATTCCATATATTATGACTTAAATTAATTGTCATAAACCGGGACATTTCTTGTAGTGACATGGCGGTGAACTTCCTCCCTCGTTGTTAAGTAGTTTTATATTCATTGTTGCTCCAACCAAATGAAAATCATGTGGCTGATTACCAAAGCACCTCATGAATTCATCAGCTAGGTGGATGTGTCTCTTCATCCATGCAGCAAAAAAATATTAGAGTAAATACAGAGAGAGAAAAGCAGCAATTCAGCAAGAGGCATCTGATTATTTTTTTTAGAAAATAGATGAGAAATCCCGATTCTGCGTCTCCACACACAACATTAACGTTATTTCTTGCAAGAGGCATCTGATAATTTGATATGAGCAAGAGCAACTATATAATGTTGAGGATGGCGGCGCATAAGGACTATTTCAGTTTGTGCGTCTCGGAACTGAACAAGCTGTTAGAAAGAACATGACCTTAGCCGTCGATCTAGCGGGTACATCTTTCTATAAATATGATGAACACACCCTAGAACTTTAAACTACTAGATCTAGAGGGAGAGGAAGGGATGGAAAAGGCTGACTGTCTGTGCCCTTGGAGGATGATCCGCTCGCGTCCGCCATGGAATCGGTGAAGTCTACACATGGGCAGCGACGGTCGGTGAAGACGGTGAGGGTGATAGGCGGTGGCGACCGGTGGTGGTGCAGCTGGTGGCTTCCCATCACTGGCTGCGCACCCTCTAGATTGGATTAGGGATTTCGGTGGGGAGCTCGGCTCAGGCGAACCTCGTACTCAGAGCCATCGACCCCCACCTCTATTTATTGCGCAGTGTGGCAGGGGCCCTCTAGCCATAGTGGGCTGGGCGCCCCCGATCAAGGCGCGGATCAAAGGCCCAACTGGGCCATTGGGTCCAGTTTGGGATTAGAGATCAATCTAACAATCTCCCCCTTGATTCCCTACCAACTTTCAATTTCATATCATTTACTTTTGTTCATTCCATTACAGATTAGCGCATAGAGCATGTTTCATCGTCATGGTCAATTGTCGATAGATTTAACAACTACAACACACCACTCTGTTCTGAAATAGATACTTAACTTTGGGCCTTCTTTTGTCCAAGAATTATATGCTTTCCCTTAAACCCATGCCGGCTACATGTTCTCTGAACACGTTGGGCGGTAAGCCTTTTATAAGCGGATCTGCGAGCATCTTTTCGGTACTTATATGCTCAAGACTTATGACATGATCCCGGACTTTATCTTTCACAACATAATACTTTATGTCAATGTGTTTGGCAGCACCACTTGACTTATTATTGTGAACATACTATACTGCTAGATTATTACCGTAGTATAACTTAAGTGGTCTATAGATGTCGTCAACCATCTTCAAACCAGGTATGAACTTCTTTAGCCAGTTCACCTACCCCATTGCCTCATAACACGCTATAAACTCGGCATACATTGTGGACGATATAGTGACGGTTTGCTTTGAGCTTTTCCATGAAATAGCTCCCCTGCGAGAGTGAATACATATCTAGACATAGATTTTTTAACATCTCCCGCATAATCAAAATATGAATATCCCACTATATGGAGTGAATCAGATCTTCTATACGTCATCATGAGGCTTTTCGTTCCTTGCAAATAACACAAGACTTTCTTTACTAATTTCTAGTGTTCTATTCCAGGTTTGCTCTGGAATCTGCCAAGTAACCCGGTAACAAATGCCAAGTCAGGGCGCGTACATACTTGAGCATATTGCAAGCTTCCGACAGCTGAAGCATATGGAACCATTTTCATTTGATCGATCTCATACTGATTCTTGGGGCACTGAAAATCTCCATATCTGTCGCCCTTGACTATAGAAACAGGTGAGGGACTACATTTGTGCATACTGAATTTCTTTAAGATCTTTTCTATGTATGCCTTTTGTGACAGTCCTAATACCCTTTTACTTCTATCTTGGTGAATCTCGATCCCTAGAA